GCACAAGAGTTACTAACCCTTCCAAGAATCCGGATGTGTTGGATGCTTTATCCTCTTTGCATGACAAATATGTCGTTGTTCCAGCAGATAAAGCCTCCAATAATATTGTCTTCATGTGTAAAAACCATTATTTGCAATGTCCCACAACACGGCTTGGAATAAATAGAACTACTGGTAATCCTACATATCTTTAACATCATTTACCAAGGACGAAATTTTACAAAATCACAAATCTGTCCTTCTTTCTTTTGGTATCAACATCAATGAAAACGAAGAAAATTTACCATCATTATACTGGATACCAAAACTTCACAAAACTCCATATAAAGAACGATACATAGCTGGGTCATCAAAATGTTCGACTAAACATCTTTCTAAAGTACTGACTACTACTCTTTCTACAATTAAAGATGGGCTTCAAAAATATTGTGATGATATATATTCTACCAGTGGTGTTAACCAGATGTGGATTCTCAAAAATTCGAAAGATCTACTGATTAATCACAATCTTTGCAATTTTGCAGCAACATAAAGACTTTTGATTTTTATACTCTTTACACTACTATTTCCCATGCTAAGTTGAAAGATCGACTTCACGATCTCATTAAACAGAGCTTTTTTTTTCTATAAAAATGGGAATCGTAGATACAAATTTCTTGTTTTGGGTTACAATAATTCATATTTTGTGAAGAACCACACTGAATCTACCAGAAAATATACTGAAGATGATATTATCAAAATGCTGGACTTTTTGATCGACAATATATTTGTTGAGTTTGGAGGATTTATATTTCAACAGACAGTCGGTATTCCAATGGGTACTAATTGTGCACCCCTACTGGCCGATTTGTTTGTGTACTCGTATGAAGCAGAATTCATTCAGAACCTTCTAAAAGACAAAAAGAAAAAGCGCCTTGCGAAATTCTTTAATTTTACTTTCCGATATATTGATGATGTCCTATCATTGAATAACCCATATTTCAGCCAATACTTACATCTCATATATCCCAGTGAACTTGAAATTAAGGATACTACTGATACTAGAAGGACTGCTTCATACCTTGATCTTTTCCTCAATATTGACACAGATGGACGACTTCACACGAAAATCTATGATAAACGGACGATTTCAACTTCCCAATTATCAATTTCCCATTTCTCAGCAGTAACATACCCTCTGCCCCTTCGTATGGTGTTTACATATCTCAGTTGATACGTTATGCTCGTGCATGTTCACACTATACGGACTTCATATACTGAGTGTGATCCTAACGTAGAAACTGCTCCAACAAAGTTATGAGGAGGACAGATTAAAAATGACACTCCGTAAATTTTACGGACACAATCACGAATTGGTCGATCCATACGATGTGTCTTTGTCCAAACTAACTAAGGACATTCTTACCACGTGTTAGATTGTGGTTTCACATTACGTCGTATGATCTTTTAATTACCAAACGTGACTTATTCCCGATTGTGACTGTTTTGCTGAGTGTGAATTCGCATTGCTATAAGACGTGTCACGGTACTTTTCTATCCAAAATTCATGTATTTAGTTTTGATGTTATATTTGTTATTCTCATCGGATTTTGTCAAATGTCTTATCGTTTGTAGTTGTAAATCTTATTTTTTTTTCTGTTGTATTCGTGTGTTAAGGTAAAGATAATTAATCACCCGGTTCATAATTAAATTTTAGTTTGGGTCAACTAATTTTATACGATATATTTGGTTTACAGTTTGATTTAGAAGAAACACCGACATAGCTAGATATTACTATTAATTATCTAATTACTACCACATTTTATATTAATTAGTATTGTAATTTTCATTGTTATTAATAAATGTTATATGAATATTATAAACCAAATCTTGAATTCTATCCTAATTCTATCCTATTGTGGGGAAATTTCAGAAATTCAAATATGACGTCACTTTTTTGGCGTTTTTCATTCTGTAGTTAGTCACCTCTTCGGTGTTATCATGTATATCTATTATATTGTCATTTTTATAAATTTACTTTTTGCAAAAGTATGAATTATTCTAAATACTAAGGATTTTCTTATCCCAGACATATAACCTTAGCCGTATTTGGCACAACTTTTTGGAACTTTTAGTCTTCAATGCTCTTCAACTTTGTACTTGTTTTGGCTTTCGAACTTTTTTGATCTGAGCGTCACTGGTTAGTCTTGTGTGGACGAAACGCGCGTCTTGCGTATTAAATTTTTAACCTGGTACCTTTTGTTAGCTATAATTCGTATGTTTCTCTGTCCTATTTGTTCTCCCATTTATTTGTATTGTAGTTCTGTCATGTAATGTTGTCATTTTAATGTTATATTTAACATTGCCATAAAAGCGGGTGGTTTGACTAGCCACAAAACCAGGTTCAACCCACCTTTTTTTTCTTAAAATGTCCTGTACCAAGTCAGGAAAATGGCCATTGTTATATTATAGTTCGTTTCCGTGTGTGTTACATTTTAATGTTGTGTTTCTGTTGTTTCTTAGTTCTCTTATATTTGATGTGTTTCACTCAGTTTTAGTTTGTAACCCGGATTTGTTTTTTTTCTCAATCGATTTATGAATTTCGAACAGCGGTATACTACTGTTAACTTTACTTAGGATGTGTTTATTATAGTTTATTAATTATAGTTTGGGTCGTCCTCAACATAGGCTGTATATCTAAAAGTAAAATATAAGGTTCAAATGGAAATATTTTTTCTAAAAGTTAGAAAACCATGATAGACAGAAAACTTCTAAAATGTTTAAGATCTATCTCCCACAACAAATTTATGTCCAAAGCAACTTTAAAATAAAATAGCCAAAATAACCAAAGTTCAACTTTGCTTGAGGTAGCATAAACTTTAGTTTCTTTATACTTTCAAAACAAAAAGGGTGTATTATAAATTATATCAGCTGACCATTTCCTCGGGGACAAGAAGCGGTATGGTCTTAGAATATAGCACTATTCTAGATAAACCGTCATCAAGAATAATTTGAAAGCACACTCATTTGAAAGGCTAGATATATAACTCCCTGAATATGCGTGGAGAAATATGGGCAAAAGGAATCTAAAACGAATAGCAATTTCTCGACAGCGGAGAAGAAAGGTACAATGCATGTTATAAATCGTGGCAGTACCAAAAGGACTGATTACTAGGCTGTCCACCAGTAACAGTATCGACCAAGTGCAGGGATATGAAAATATCACTAATTTTAACTTTCTTGTAAACTATTATCGAAAGACTGAAACAACATAATGGTGTCTGACCAACAATTCACCAACTTCAATTTAGAACAAATGTGATACTAACACTATTCTGACATAAATAGTGCTTTTGGTTATGTTTACTGAAACTAGCAAATGAATTTACATGAATGTAACTTTTTCAGAAAAATATATTTTGATCATTTTGAGCCCAAATTTACGTGTGCGTGAAATTGCAACACTATTTCAGGGTAGTTGTGATCAATAGTATTCTGTTGAAGATTTTCAGAAAACCAACATGCTATTTTTAATAGTAAGGGACTATCATGTGTCATTACAAGAGTTGATACATTGATTGAAAATTGGTAGGAAGTTGGTACATGTACATGTTTAATTCTTTATAATTATACTTTGTATATTATAAAGTTAAAATATTTAGAGCTGTGAAAATTTGGTTGAATATATATGTATTTTGAATTGGTGGTTTGACACAATTATTGATCAGCAGTTCAAAATATGTTTTGAAGTTTCTTGACGGGATCTGTCGATTTGAGTGACTATTTATTGCAGTTATTCCTCTTTTTGCTTATCTAAAATCATAACTTTGTGTGAAGCATCTTCAACTGAGAAACAACCGAATTAGTTTGAGCCACAATTTACATGAATGATCCATGGTTGAAATCTCATTAATCGATAAAGTAAGTAAAAATGTACAAACCAAGGTAATATTTAAAAAAAAAAATGATGGAATCGCATGAATTCCAAAAGGAGTGAGACCTTCAGGATAATTATCTCCTGCTATGCATGCATCACCCGCCTTGCATACATTATCCAAACTTAGCGAAACAGTCACAAATGGGAAATCTACAGATCCGACGACTATTCTGGTATCGTTTAAATTGGGTATTTAAATTATGAAAATATTTAGCTATTTTTATTGAGGATCAACAATGTCAGTATCAATTTTATTGAGGATCAACAATGGCTTAATAAATAGACCAAGCGCTTTTTTTTTATTTCTTAGTACACAGGTAGCTAATGTTTTATATAGCCAAGAAAGCACGACTTTGATTGTGTCTCTTAGAGATTGTTTCTAAAGCTGCAGCAATACATTCTGCAACCGAATGGAATGATTCTAAAGTCAAACAGAAGTCGAATAGGTGATACAAAATGAGATATACAGAACTGATACTGCTATGCGAGCTTCAGTAAATTGATGCTTAAGCTCAGTAAATAAGGCTTTGTCTTGTATCATAAAATGATGTAGCAAGGTTTTTTTTTGTGTGTTAAGCGTTAATGACGAATTGTAAGCACATGTTTTATTATTTCTCTGAAAATCTGTTACAAAAAAATATCACTTTTGACAAACCTTGAGTTGTGGCAACTTCCTTTACAGTTTCAAAAGATTAACCATTTTACGGTGTTGCATGTATGGCTATCCATGCGTATCGCGTTTGATAATATTACCTGACTAAGTTATGTGATATTGATTTTGCTTACACTCGTCGTCAACTTATTTTTGTAAAATTCATAAAATAAAATGTGCGTTTCCTTTTTTTGTTTGTTCAGTTAATACTTTTATTTTTATTAGCTCTTCTTTTTTATAAGGTTGTGGACTTTCAAATACTTTAGACTCGTGCATCACTGAAGAGATATTAATTGTCAAAATGCAGAAATGGTGCAATAAAATTGGTACCGTTAATGATAATATTAAATTGCATCGTTTGTTCCAAAGTTTGTACAGACATGTATTATCTGTGCATAGACTTGGAACTTTGGATAAATACATCAATACGTGTTATATTTACAATTTTAATACATGTCTTTAACTGTTTCCAATAATTATTTGTTGAAATATATAATTTAATATACACTATAAAAACAAAACAATTATATATATTCTGAAAAAAGCGTCATTCGCAATTTGTCCCACACATTATCACTTTCCTCGTCTGACCAATCAAGGAGTACCACATCATCGATAATGAAGCCAAGTTCCAAAGGGAAATTCTCTACACTGACATTTTTTGTTATAACAATGATTTTATGAAGATGTCGTGTATATTTTTCGTACTTAGCTCTGTGAATCTCGAACTCTCCCCAAATTTTATCCCTGAATGCTTCAGAAATGATGAATATGATGTTTCTGCTTTCCTGGATAGATTGTAAAATTGCATCAGCTCGAATATTTCCAGCTAAGATATCTCGATCCTCTATACACACAGACATTTTCCACGAATTTTCGAGTTTTTGAATCAAAGTGTTTTTTACCCAGCCCAAACAATCATCTGCACATGATAAATAAATATCATATCGAAATTTAGATTTCATATCCTTTTCGACAACCTTTTTGAATGTACGGTATATACAATAGGCTATTCGCCACCTAAAATTAGCAAGAATTGCAATAGGTAAAGAAAATGCGATGAATCCAACTAACAAACAAACGCCAACACGAAGCCAAATTTCACTTTTACAATGACTAAAAAGTTGGTGGAATTCTTCATAAACTTTTCTAGTATTTGTTATGGTTCCATTTACTAATGAACACTTAAATGTTATGCTCTTGTTGTCAAATATAATCTTTGTATGAAAAAGCCACAAAATAAAATCAGAATTTTCGCAAGTGCATTTGAAAACATTTCCAACTAAATTTAATGTCAGTTTTGTTTTCGTTCGTTCATTCTGCATATCAAACCAATCTCTTAATGTTGCATTTATCGTTTGGAGAGAATTGTGTATCAAGGTAAGATGACTTAGCTTCGACAACGTCATGACTGCTATTGGTATTTCAGAAAACAAATTGTAACCCATATTAAGGTTACGCAGATTCCTGTTTGATTTAAAAGCGTCGTTTGGTACAAACCACAAGTAGTTATATGAAATGTCCAAAATTGTAACTGATGGTACCAAGTTAAAAATTTTCTGATCTTTCTTGAAAGTTAGCCCAAGCCTTGCTTGTTTTAATATTACAGTACTTGTTTTTTGAAGAAATGGAATGCTTTTTCTTCTTGAATACAAAGTAGAATCAATGCCTGAAAGATCAGTATATCTTATATTATTTGTACCATTGAACGAAACTTCAGGAAAATACTTCATTCGAAAATTGGACAGATCAAGATGACTCAAACTGCTGATATTCATAAAGTGGATCGGTATATGTGGTATAGTCTCTTGAAATCCTACAAAATTGCGCAAAACCAGATTTTTTAAATTTTGAGGAAACGGAACTGTTACTTTAATTGGGGATACTCTATGTTTGCTCAAAAGTGGATATCGGTTGAAACCGTTTTTTGAATATGGGATGCTTCTCAAGAGACCGGAGAACCGAAATTTGAAAAGATTAGATACTTTTGTAATCAGCTTCATTAACTCCATTATTTTGAAACCGTTCATGATTGAAAATCTATTTCCAGAAAACTCGATTTCTTTAAAACATTCCGGATGATGGTAAAATAGAAGTGATTTTGGTTTGAAGTCCACAATACCATTTCTTATCATCAACAATTTTCCCACACAAATATTTTGTAAATACTTCATCATATCAGCAGTAATAACTACAGCAATTGGAGATCTGACTGACCCATCACAATATCCTGGATTAACCTCTTCAAATGTTATCTCGTTCATTGCTTTGTTTTCGAAAGGATATAAAATGGTCAATGCAGATTCGTATTCAACGCATACTCGTTTCAACAGAAGACTATGTAAAGAAGGAAAAGGTCTAAGAAAGTTAGCCTCTGCCACAGAGTTTATTGTACATTCAATGAAAGTTATCCTCTTAATTGTTGCTGGCATGTCCAAAAATGTTTCGTTGGTCATTTTATCCAAATAACAAAAGTCAAACAAAAGAGTATTCAACTTGGTTAGATTATTCAAACCACTCATATTAAAATCAGGATTAAATGTTAGGTCCACTGCCAAAATGGTTAGATTATGCAGTTCACCAAAGAACGGATACAACACTTTCGTTCTGTTTGTTTTGTTCATATTTCTCGCGATATTTAGAGTTGTCAAGGACACGAGTGGCGAAAATATATTCAATGGATATGATGTATTCAAATCAAGACTGTTACCAAACATTGACAGCTTATTTAATTTTTCAAGCCCTGCAAACGTATTTTCCCCTAAATATGAAATCCTGTTTTCATCAAGAATTAATTTCCGCAAAGTCCGATAACGTATGAACGCTTTTGCTGGTATATTGACGATTAAATTTCCTTTCAGATCTAGTTTTATTATATCATCTGGTAAATCCTTTGGAACATTTGAAAATCCTCTCGAAGTGCAGTCGGCTACTTTGGATTTGGCGTTACCTGTTATGTGACATAAACCGCAGTAGACATAAGAAAAACGTATGATTATAACCAAAAACATCAGAAAAATGTAACTGTGCATGTTGATCATTTAACCTTCATAACAATCAATGGACTAGACTGCAATTATTTAACTTCCCTTTTTGTTTTCATTTGATAATAAAACGAATTGTATGATGGCCGTAAAACTTTTATTTCCTGTTTTTGCGAGACAAAAAATGTGTAACGGAAAACGAAAAATAAATCTGAAACAAGGTTATCTGAATATCTTCCTTAAAATTAGATAATGACAAATTTATAACCAGTGTTAAAAATGTCCAAACATTTTCTATTTTTATGTGGTGGGTTTATAAAAGATTGCCCAAAATGAAGCTAGTACAAATCTTGTTTTAATCCTGGTATATCCTATTTCTATGTAATCAGTATTTCAATGACCTACGAATATTGTGAGCTTCGTAACAAAATAATAGTAATTTCCCGCGGTTCGTATAGTAACGCGTGAAAATATTCTATTGTCGGTACGTTATCATAAATATTCATAAGGCATAACAAAATTGACCAGTCAGGAAGTCGATTTTTGTAAAACGATATACTTGGTGTTTTTCAAGCGCTTCACTTTCTAGCCGTCGTTCAACATAGTAAGCTGCATGGACGCCGATATTCAACAAACAATACGTTCAGAAGTGCATAATGCAGTGCAAAACACTCAAGAACAGTTTTTGGACAATATGACAACTTTACTAGAGTCTCGTTTAGATGGTTTCCAAAGAAATCTTCAGGAGAACCAGAAATCCTTGTCGGACACACAGATAGCCAAGATAGATGAAAATATGTCGGACACATATAAATTTCGCAAGAGATGTAACGAAGAGCAGTACAAACGTAATCATAAAGTGTTTGTAAAGATGAGGGAAGCCAGTACCGAGATGATATCAGTCAGACGAATATCTACAACGCCAAACGGAAGATAACTGAAGGTATGGACCTTATCAAGAACAGACAAAAAAGTTAATTAAATTAGCTGATTCGTCAGACGCAGTGTGGCGTGTAGTAGCTGAATACATTTCTAATCCTTTGACCAAAATTCCGATGACAAAAGAAAAATGTAGAAGGCACAGTCAACGGCAGAGACCAAGATGAAAACAGAAAAACAGAAAAAACGTACAGACCAGAGGACAACACCATATAACAAAACAACAACAACTTCAGCGGGAAGTTCGATACCTGTTAATGTCAGCAGTGGATTTGTAAGACCTGGGGGATGTTTTTATTGTCACGAGAGTAAGCATTGGATAAGACAGTGTTCAAAAGCCACAGCAGAACAAAAGAATAAGATTAGTATAAATAATACGTGCACTTTTAGTTACATAGAATCGAGCGCACCTCTATTGTGTAAACAAACATCAGCTGATTTTCAATCAATGAAAAATACACATACTAAAGTATGTCTAGATAACGGTACAGGTGTAGGACATTTAAAAAAAGGTAAACTCGTGGAAAGAGATGTGTGCTACAAAGTTCGTGGTTGATATAATAGAAAACGAGTATAAGATACCATTTAGCACAGTACCTCGAGAAACAGTATTAGAAAACAATAAAACTGCACGCGACAACTCTAATTTGTCGCCTGCGAGATAGAAAAACTATTAGAAAAAGGTTGCATACGTCGAGTGAGAAATAAACCTCACGTAGTCAATCCATTGACTGTAGCTAATAATAAAAGCTCCAAATTAAGGTTGATTTTAGATGCAAGACATTTAAACCCACATATTGTAAAATCCAAACACAAATATGAAGACGCCACAACTGCCAGACAGTTGTTTGAGAGAGGAAACTATGTATTTTCCTCTGATTTAAAAAGTGCATATCACCACATAAAAATATGTCAAGCAGATACAACTTTTTTAGGATTCGAATAGGCAAATGATTACTATGAGTATAATGTTTTGCCATTTGGATTATCCTCCAGTGGGTATATATTTAGCAAAGTAATGAGAGAGATCATAAATCATTGGAGAGGGAGAGGTATAAAAATCGTTATGTATTTGGACGATGGCCTCGGTGGAGGTAATGGATTTGAGGACGCTTTAGCATCAAGTAGAACAATCGAATCATATTTTGAAAAGTTCGGATTTGTTTTGGCGCATGAGAAATGCAACTGGCTACCAGTTCAAATGTTAGAATGGCTAGGTTTTTATGGGATATGTCGGGAGGGGTTTTAAGACTCACAGAGAAACGCATAATTAAGTTGAAAACACTTTGGTTGTTTTCATTTACCAGTTTAGAAGTGATATTAGGCTGTTCAGAGTAAAATTCGTGGCAAGTATTGTAGGCCAAATTATATCTATGCCGGCAGTAATAGGTGATCAGGCACGATTAAGAACTAGATATTTATATGAATCTATATTGAGTAGAGCAAGTTGGAATGCTAAAGTACTAGTTAGTAAAGAAACACTTAAAGAGTGCACATTTTGGCTACAAAATATAAGTAGCATGAATGAGACAGGATTTCAATTATGTCAAGTGACATTTAATGAAATTCAAGATTATCACTTGTTCTGTGATGCACCTGGCAAGGGTTTTGGTGGTCATATGACCAAAGGTTCAAAGGACGAACCATTGGAAATGTTTGGACGTTGGTCAGTAAATGAACAAAACAAAAGCTCAACTTGGCGAGAGCTAGTAGCAGTAAAGAGAGTATTAAACAATTTTATAAATGTAATGAAGGGTAAGGTTATCAGGGTATAAACAGATAACAAAAACGTAATTCACATACTCAGAGTAGGAAGCCGAAAAGCGTCACAACATGAAAACGTGATGCATATACATGAAATTTGTACGGATCAATAGATTAAATTAATAGATATAAGAAGATGTGGTATAAGTGCCAATGAGACAACTCTCCATCCAAGTCACAATTTGTAAATGTAAACCATTATAGGTCAAAGTACGACCTTCAACACGGAGCCTTGGCTCACACCGAACAGCGAGCTATAAAGGGCCCCAACAATGACTTGTGTAAAACCATTC